TGGGTTGGGGTTTTTTTTGGGGGGTGGGAGGGATTCAAACCCCTTGGCACCACTCAAGGGCTGTGTCCAGTGACCCACGTCTGCCCCTGGGGCCAGGGAGGTGCTGGGCAAAGCCCTTCGGTCCCTAAATTTAGTTGAAGTCCCTTGCTGGACCTGGGCCTGACTGCATAAGAGAAATCTCATCTCTGCTGTTTTTAGGACATTCTCCCCTTTCCCTCACAGAACCTCCCGGAGCTTCGAGGAGCAGAAGGGAGATTGTACAGTTCGGGCTGGTCTGGGCTCACTCACACGTTTGGCTGCACCAGTTCCTCCTGCTTGTGTCAGGAAATGCCAATTTCTTGGTACCAACACCACTTCCTTTGCCCCGAGAAGGTTGGTTGCCAAGCAAAGCCTTTGCCCAGAGGTGCTGGGCAGATCCCAGGCCCCTCCTGTACCTCCAGCTCTGTCACAGCTGGAGCAGGTGATTCCTGTAGGTCCCTTCCAACCGAACCATCCTGTCCTCTCCGTCCCCCTGTGTGTGCTGAGTGTTCCATCCGTGCTCTGCGTGGGATCAGGAGCAGGTGGAGGCAATGGAAGCAGTGCCAAGGCTGCCACTGGTGTCACTCTCCATGAGCTGGGAAAGGGGTGATGGAGCACACGTGCTAAGTGATGGAGAGGGAGCTGAGCAACAGCATTTAGCATCAGGAGCAACACCAAAACATCAGGCAGAAAAGGAGGTTTGAGCAGAGGGAAGGCAGAAAGGTGTGTAGGGAGAGACCAGCCCATTGTATAGAGATGTTCCTTCTGTTGGGGTTTTGGGTTTATTTTCCTCTCTTTTTTTTTTTTTTCCTCCTTTTTGTTTCCTTTTTTTATTTTTCCTCCTACTTTTAGATCTGCAAGCTTGTGCACTGTGGGTGCGTGACTATTTTAGTGTGAACCGTGGTTTTGTCATAGTATTGAAATAATAAAAGCTTCAACATAGTTTGGATGTGGAAGGTGTAGCTAGTTCAGATTTGAAAAAAAAATATATAAAATATTCAGGAATAAAAAAAAAAAAATAATAAAAATAGAACAACCAACCAGAGAACAACTCTCAGAAAGAACAGAAGCCTTTCAATGAGGAAAGCAACCCGAGCTGACCGTGGCATCCGTTCCCAGGTGGTGAGCAGGAGGGTCAGGGGGTGGGAGGCTCTCCCAGTGGCATCACTTCGTTTGCAGCTGTGAGAAATAATGGTCTTGTCCTTTGCTAAGTGTGGGGTTTGTTGCATTCTCTCCTCAGCTCCTAGTGGAGGTGACTGGGGGACAGGCTCTGGGGCCTCACTCCAAAGCTGGTGTGAAACCATCGCAGTGGTGTCTGTGGAGCTGTGGGGAAGTTTGGCTCACAGTCCTTAGGATTCTTTTTTTTTTATCTCCTGAAATGCAGCAGGAGAGCTCCCGTGGTCTGGCTGTGCATGGGGAGTTTGGGCAGCAGTGGGTACCTCCTGTCCTGTGGCTGAGCACAGTGTGTCCCTCGTTTCTGCAACGTTTTGGCTGGTTTTGTCACCTGTGTGTTGTTCCCTCTTCAGTTCTGTCCCCCAGAAGCTGAGCAGCTGGTAGGAAACACAAGAGTAATGCACAGGATCCTGCCCAGTGCCAACTTGTTGGGTGGGAATGGTAACTATCACCCCTGGACTGGGATTTCTGTTGGAAAAAGTGCTCAGCTCAGAGCCCAATCCAACCCCTAACCACTTCAGCAGCCAACCCAACTGGCTGCAGTGGGGTCAGGCTTGGATGAGCTTTAAGGTCCTTCCAGCCCAGCCCGTGGTGTGGTTTGGGATGGATGGAGTGTCCCAGTTTAATGCTCTCCTGACACCTCCAGTACTTGTAGTGCTTTTTAATCACCCTTAATGGAGACTAATTTGGTGTAGACTGACCCCATTTCCAAGCTGTCTCAGGCTTCATTGCTTCCAGGCTTTGAGGAGGGACCAAGGCAACGGTGTTGGTGCTGTCTCTGTCGTGTGTGTCCTCCCCTCCCTGCAGGCCACACCAGGAGTGTTGCCATTCCATGCTGCACCATCCGTGAAGGTGACGATAGTGCAATCCTGTCCTTTGGTTTCAGAGTGGAGTTTTCCTTTCACCCTTTTCTATGGAGCCTTCAAACCCCACCTTTGTCACACTAGGCTGTTTTGGTAGTTGTTCTCAGCCCCTCCATGGCCACCCTTCCCCAGCATTCCCTACTTTTGGGGCCTTTCTCTCTCTTGTTAAAAAAAGAAAAAAACAAAAAACGTTTTTACCGAGTGAACCATCCGAGTCCACCTTGACTGCCATTCTCACCGGTGTAAATACTGAGACTAACTGAGGATTTTGACTTTGCATTCTGTCAGAATACTGTGTTCAAATAAAAGTTACAAAAACAAAACTTCTGCCTCGGTCTGCCCTTCTTTAGCTGCCCTGCCTGGGGCTCAGCCCAACTGGGGCTACTGGGAGGACTCCACCTCTGTCCCTCTGTGTGTATGGAGATCCCTCGAGGTAACACACACACAAAAATGCAATTTCATGGGGGTTGTGAAGCTTTTTTTCCCAAAAAAAAAAAGGCGGCTCTGTTGCCTTGCTGTGGGAGGGTTTGTGTTCCTCGCTCGTGGTTGTGTTTCCTTAGCAACGCAGAGCTCCTCTCTGTGTGCCCGTGGCTCTGTCTGTCCCCACAGGCATTTCTGCTGTTTTCCTTCTGTTTTCCTGCTGTTTTCCTGCTGTTTTCCCGGTG